GATATTAAACCACCACTACCCTTTTCATTCTCAAAATCAGCAGAAGCATTTTAATTTATCCACAATTATTTCTACCACTGCTGATTTCCAAATAAAAAGAGCATTTCCTACTTTTTGTTAATTAATAGGAAAGTGTACAACTCAGTATCCATTTGCTTTATAGATATGTGATTGTTGAATTTTGGAAAAATCAGAACAATTGACAAGATGAAAAACCATATAATTGTCATTCTCCTCAGCTTGCAATTATTTATTTCAATTTATTGTAATATATGTTGGTGAGCATATTACATTAATGAAGCTTATTAAAACTACTGTATCATGAGTTCCAAAATAACAAATAAACTTTATATAAGAGAGCAATATTCTACAATAGAAAGCATGTGTTTTATGTCTCATATTGGAGAAAAGGATAAAGTAATCGTTACAATCCTCCAGTTAGGAATATAGTAATGGAGACATGGAGAATAAAGAGTCCCCTCCTTGCTCTCTCTATTCATGTTTTTCTCATACCACTGGCCATTTGGTATAATCAAATGTACAAAAGTCAATGTTTCTTGATAGCGTGCAAAACCTGGACCCTGATGTTAATCCAGAGCAGAAAAAAGTATATCCTCAAGTATAGAAGTGAGTTTATCCTTTAAAAGTAATGCCGTGAAATCATCTTCATACATGGGGAAGTTCCCATCACTTTTTCTCATTAAAACACACAACAATTAAATGAATGTCCATAATGTAATATAATTCAAATAAAATACATGATAAAAATCTAATTATTATAAAATATATGATTATCCAATTCATTCACTTTGGGTTGCATATGACATAAGAACAACAATAAACCAAAGGAGGGAATTATACACTACATAAATACCACGCATAAAATGGCAACCAAGCACGTTTTTTAAAAAATCAAAAAGGGATTCCTATTTAACTGGCCCACATGCCTGGGTGGAAAGTCATATCTTAACAACTTTCCTGAAGGTGAGAAGACCAGGGGCCTGTATCTATTGGAGATCTTTCCAGAGAGCAGGGGCAATTATAGAAAAGACACATTTCCTAGGTCCCATTAAATGACAAGTTTTAAAAGAAGGAATGTGGAACATTTGGAGTGGACAGATGTTCTTGGGAGACACAGTCCTTCTAGTGATCCAGTCCTATGCCATATAGGATTTTCAAGGTAATAACCAGTCCCTTGAATCACATCCAGAAATCTATTGGGAGCTGGAGTAGCTTGGGGTGTAGTTGTTCTGATCTAGGCTTCCTGATACAGTAAAAGCACACAATGAGTCCCAAAAACCCTCTTTTTATTTCAATGGCTGTGAATTCTGCTCATTCAGAGCCTGTTCATTTTCAATCTGTTCATTCACAGATGAGTCCCAAATAGCTTTAAAGAGTCTGATAGAAGTCTGCTACAGTTCTTCGGGATAAGGCTGATAAACACCCACCTTAATCTCCCTTAACATGCTGCCAAGATCTAATTGGCAATTAACTTTGCAAGGCCACATGGAACACCCTTCCAAGACTGAGTGGCTGTGGTTCCCGGCATCCCGATATAGTCAGTTGACTCCATCACTGACTATCGGGGGTGAGTCTTTGGCCCCGCGGAGAGGGCGCGCAATCTGGGAGTCCTCCTGGATACGCAGCTGTCCTTGGAGGAACATCTGACAGCTGTAGCCAGGGGGACCTTCTGTCAGGTTTGCCTGATTCGCCAGTTGCGGCCCTTTATTGAACGGGATTCCCTGTGCACAGTCACTCACGCCCTCGTCACCTTGCACCTGGACTACTGCAATGCTCTCTACATGGGGCTCCCCTTGAGAAGCACCCGGAGGCTCCAACTGGTCCATAACGCGGCCGCGCAGGTAATCATAGGAGCTGCCTGGCGCTCCCACATAACAGCGCTCCTGCGCGAGCTGCACTGGCTCCCAGTGGTCTTCCAGGTGTGCTTCAAGGTGTTGGTTACCACCTTTAAAGCGCTCTATGGCATAGGACCTAGTTATCTTCCAGACTGTCTGCTGCTACTGATGACCTCCCACCGACCTGTGCGCTCCCACAGAAAGGGCCTCCTCGGGGTGCCATCAGCCAAACAATGTAGGCTGGTGACCCCCAGGGGGAGGGCCTTCTCTGTGGGGGCACCTACCCTCTGCAACCAGCTGCCCCAGAGATAAGGAGAATCCAAGACCTCTGTGCCTTCCACCGTACCCTTAAAACTTTCTTTTTTCAGCAAGGCTTAATATATTTTTAAAATATTTTTAATTGGTTTGTTATTTTAAATTGGGGCAAAATTAATATATATCTTTTTAATTGTTTTTAATGTTTGTATTGTATGTTTTTTATCTGGCTGTACACCGCCCTGAGTCCCTCGGGAGAAGGTGCGGTATATAAATTCGAAATAAAATAAAATAAATAAAATAAAAGACAGAGTCACCGTGGAGCTGCAGTCTTGAAACCGGCCAGCACGAGCAACAGTTGCTTCCTGCAAAGATCCATATGCCTTTGCTCCTCCTTTATTTCTTATGGGAGGGGCCAATCATCTCCAAGCCCTACTCCCAAATTGACCCTTTTGTTATAACTGTTCTTGCCTTCTGGCAGCTCTGCACATGCGCACACTGGGAACAGGCTCCCCCTGTTCCTATGCCTCACTGATGTCCGACTCTGGAGGCTCTGGAGTCCGCACATAACGCCCAGATGGCCTTAGCCCTATCTCTGCCTCCGATGCAGAGCCCACTTCCGAGACTTCCCCAGACTCCAGGATTGGCCCATGTTCCTCCCCAGCCTCCTCACTGTCTGCAGGCCGCCGACGGACCACAACAGTATTGTGTTGTGTAGTATTAAATGGTCATAAGGAAACATACCCATAACTACCTACTCTGTTGCACTCTGGACCAACTGAATGGCTCTTATTTTTGTACAATAAAGTATGCATGCACAAAATGTAGCAACGTTCTAGAGCAGGGGTATCAAACTCGATTTCAGGGCTGCATCAGGGTTGTGTTTGATCTCAGGGGTCTGGCGTGGGTGTGGCCAGGTGGGAATGGCCAGCTCGATGTCACTCATGTCAGGGGCACCTGTGGTGGCTTGAGCACTTGGCCAGTGAAAACGGGCTCCTGAGCTCCATTTTTGACTATGATGGTTTCCTGGAACCTTCTGCCAGTGAAAACGGAACTCGGGAAGGCTGTGTGCAGCTCTCCCAAGCTCTGTTTTCACTGGCAGAGGCACTGCGGACTGGCCCTTCAATGTTTCCAGGATGGCCCCACAGTCCAGATCTAAGCACCCTGTGGGATGGATCTGGCCCACAGGCCTTGAAGTTGACACCCCGTCCTAGAGTTTCTTCATTGAAGATTAGTCTTATGGCCAACAATTTCATTGAATATTTTTAATTCAGGATTATGTGAATTTAAAAATGATTATTAACTCTGCACAGGAACAGATTGCTATAATGGAAGTTTTTACTCCAAGAGTCTGGTACCAGGTGAAAGCCTTCAAGCTTTTCCAATATTCTGTGACTAATTTCCTCATACTAAATGAATTTTAATAAATCTAATAATTTTTTAAGACAGTAACACATTTTAATGAATGTATTTTACACTGTCAAACCAACATTTCAGGAGACATGCTATTTATACAGTTTAGCCATGTATTATTCTCCCAACTGAGTTTAAAATAGTAAAGCAATAAAAATGGAAATGATACATCAAATTGTGAAAAAAGATAGACCCAGTTTAGAAAACATCCTGAACTTGAAGATAGATGTGAAGAGAGTTAAGTACAATTCTTTGAAGTTTGGAAATAACTGAGACAATAAGCAGCATTTTTTTTCCTATCAGAATGCTAATGTCTATCTGTCTATTTACCTTGCAAAAGCTATAGAGAAAATCTTTTGAGAGACAAGAAAGGAAAAAAAAATATGGAGAAGATTTTAAACAGAAATGAATGAATATGAGACATGATATGATATTTGGAATGGTGATTAGTGTCAGAACATGATTCCTAATATAGTGAGAGTATAATACAAGTAGAGACTGAAGTTCAGAGTATTGGTCAATTTCCTTGTACAAAACTATGGAAACCTGGATAAGCAAACAGCATTGGGGACTATATACTTTATTGCAGTATATATAAACACCAGTGTGTTTGAAGTTGGTTTTGAAGGGGAAGCCAACTTTGCACATAGTAAATCAAGCTAGGGAAACTGCTCTGGACATGACAAAGAGGCTGAAAACTATCCAGTGTGAAGATTTGTTTTCCCACGCCAAAGTGGGGAAACTAAATCCGCACGTGCATGTTGAATATGAGTGGGAATCTTTGGCAGGAAGAATTGGATGAAAGTGACGATAACCAGAATGACAAGCCTAGTCCGATTAAGAAAGAACATTCTCCGAGACCGCAGGGTTTTTGTCATTCTTCCAGTATTTCTCCTCAAGACAAAATGGCTCTTCCCAGTCTTAGCACTCCACAAGACAAACAGAGACTCTTCTATGGCACCTTTCCACTAGTTTTAAATGGACCCATGGTACAATAGTGGCTTATTACAGTGTAACTAACCCTAAATAAAAGCCTGGAGGAAAAAAATGGTTGTCCTTCAATTATCTGTCTGTCCTTCTTACAAAGGCTATAAAGAAAATATTTTGAGAGGCAAGAAAGAAAGAAAAATATGGAGAAGATATAACTCTAATGGAAGCGGATTTCTGCATCTTATTTCTTTGTAATGGAAGACTTTTAGAAAAGAAATGTTCTGGTCCTTAAATAGTAAAATTACTGTATAAATAATATCTGTTAAATATTACTGTTATCAATAATAGGAGATGACTTTACCATTTAGCCTTGTAGAATGAATGAATGAATGAATGAATGAATGAATGAATGAATGAATGAATGAACGAACAAACAAACAAACAAACAAACCCAGGCATGTCATTTTTTTATTATAGCATATAAAATTTACTGCACCATCTACCCAAATATTACCATTCTGATGTTAGAAAATGTATCATCTCTATTATTAGAAGCTACTGGAGGCTGGTCACATTGTTTGCCTTCTGTATAGCAATAATATTTGGAGAGACTGAATGATTTGCTAATTTGAAAATATCCTACAAAACATACACTTCACAATGCATGCGTCAGCGAGCCCTAGAGAGAAATACCAACTGTCCTTAAGTATAAACTATTAATATAAAGAATACTCACTATGCACACATACACATCGAGTCAGTCAATCAGTCATTCAGTCAGTCATTTTTGTGTTCATGTCCAATTCTAGGAGTCTAGACAAGAGCCTGCCTTTTTCTTGGTTTTCCAGAAGTGCTTTGCCATTGCCTCCTTTGTAAGGCTGAAGAGAAATTGACTGGCCCAAGGTCACCCAGCTGGCTTCATGCATAAGGCAGGTTTAGAACTCATGGTGTTATCAGGAGAAAGTAAGTAAATGGCTGAAATATCAATGGTGAAACGTTAATGTTGAAAATCATGTATATGTGGCATTCTATTTACAAACCTTTGCTTAGCTACCAACACTGACACCAAACTGTGTTCAAAAACACAGTTTTAAAATAGTAATATGCTTTCAGAAATAAAGCCTACTGGAGCCAAAATGAAGAATTTCAGAGGGCAAAAAAGTAGTTTCCATGAGTTTAACCATATGAATATGCAATCCTCTGTAGCTTTGACTTCAGCAGTAGCAAGACCAAATATATTATGAGTAGAAGAGCATTGACTCACATTTTAATCAAACATCTTGACAAGCAAACCAGGCTCTAGGCTCTAGGCTCTAGACCCGTGATGGCGAACCTATGGCACATGTGCCACAGGTGGCATGCGTAGCCATATCAGTGGGCACGTGTTGGCCAGCTGATTTTCTGGCCCTCTGGGCCCACTAGAAGTAGGGAAACAGGCTTCCTGCCTCCGAAGGTCCTGGGAGGGTGGGCAAGGCCTGTTTTTTGCTCTTCCCAGCCTCCAGAGCCTTTCTAGGAGTCTGGGGAGGGCAAAAAGGGCCTTCCCCATTCCCTGGAGGCTCTCTAGAGGCCAAAAATGGCCCATTTGCCAACTTCCGGTCCTATGGGGGCATCACACGTGCATGTGCAGGAGCAGGGCACATAGAATTAGGGGTGTGGGCACGCACGTGCACAACAACCCCCCCTCACTCCTGGCACACCATGGCAAAAAGGTTAGCCATCACTGTTCTAGGCTGATGCTTTAATTTTATTATCTGGAGACACAAGAAGGCAAGCTTTAGGCTAAAGGCTGGCCTAGGATGCCAAAACCTAGAGGATCAGTGGTGACCCTCCTTCCAAGTCATTCTAAAAATGCAAATCCTTGTATTGGTAGGAAGTTATGTCATAGTTAATATGGCCTTGGGAAGCCATATGCCCTTGGGGTGGCACTGGGAAAGCCCCTTGTTCATTGACCTGTATAGACAGGTCAATGTTAACCTTTATGAGGATTTTTCTCCTGCCGTGATGAACATCCTTTCATCTTCTGTCATTGCCATTATCACAATAGTTTGATTATGTTGCATGTTCTGCTTGCTAGGAAGTTTTCATACAGATTCAGTTTTAACTAGATGTTATGTTTTCCAAATTAAAGTACCAAGGGATAATTATAGTTTCTCCATTCCATTTCATAGCCCAATTGATTGTCTTCTCAATTTGAAAATAGAATGGATCATATTCCTAGGCTCCAAGAAAAGGAAGGAAATGGGAAGGAATAACAGATAATAATAACTCTATGTGAAAAGTACTGTGGAGTAGAAACAATGTTATATAGAAGTATATTGAATCTTATGATTAAAATACTCACAAATACATTAATACACAAAATTAAGCTAGCATTTTTCAAATAGTGTTTAGTGATTACCAATAATTAGATCCAAAAGCAGTTACAAACTCTAGTTTGTTACAAGTCATAAATTTCAAAATTCAGCAGCAGATATAACAATATACTTTATTGCCCTAGTAATTTCCTGGTTAGATTAACCACACCTACTTAAAGAAGCTAAAAGTGATCAATTGGGCAAGTGCAAAATATGCTTGCTCATTACTGAAGACAAGTAGACTGATGGTTTTTTTTAATGGTGTTTTCACAAATCCAGCAGAATTCAGGAATGAGTAACATCCTCTGGACAATTCAATTTTGATAAAAGAGTCTCATTTTCAAAAGAGCACCAAGAGCACTTGTGTATCTTGTTTTGCGGATACCAGGGTTAATGTTTTAATGTTTTTAATTTTAACATGATTAAACTATCTAGCTGACACATCGTTTTGTGTCAGACTTACTGTAATATTGCAAGATTCTTTGCAAAAACAGTAACTTGAACATTTGTGAGAACTGAGTACTTACTGTATTAATGGAGATGGTCTCAGTCTGTTGTTGCTACTGCTGTTGACTACAAGGAAAAAATAAATCAAAATTACTCATCCAAAATATTTTAAACAGATCTATAACTTTGCTATGCGTCCAACCAATGAAATAATGATTCAGTTTCTTTTTTTCTTTACTTCTGAACCAAGAACACTAGCCCATTAGAACAGGGGTCCCCAAGCCCCGGTCTGTGGACCGACACTGGTCCACGGCATGGCAGAAACCGGGCCACGCAAACAAGCAAAGCCCCATCCGAGGAATGCAGGCAGCACACAAAACTACACCCCTTCCGGTCCATGGAAAAACCTCTTTCCATGGAACTGGTCCCTGGGGCCCAAAAGGTTGGAGGCTGCTGCTCTAGAATATCCTTCCCCAAATTGGTAGTTATGAAGGAAAGTACATAAATTTGCAGATAGATGGGGAGATTGATTTTGTAATAATCAGAATCTATGGAGAACACTTGCGTGTCTTCATGATTTCCCTAATGTTCTCCTTGCAAGCAGTCAGTCTTCCATAGCCTGTATTTAAACAGTACAGAATTGTTGTCAGAGGAATATGCTTGAGCTATAAAACAACCAACTGTCAATAATAAAATAGAGTCAGGATAAAGAAGTAAAAAGGGACCCACAAAAGATACATTCATTTAGGGATGTGTAACATTTGATGATTGGAAACTAAATGTTCTTGAGAACTCCAGAATATTTCTTTTCCCTCTGGACCATGAGGGAATAGCCTCCCAGACACTACCATTCCAAGAGCAATCCTGTGGTTTCCAAAAGTAAATCATCTGAACTGAAAACATTTTGAGAGGGTCTGGAAAAAATAAACCTATTTCAGACAAGGATCATGAAGCACTTCTATTCAACCTTTATTACAATTGACATTATTTGTCATACATTTAATAACTTTCACTTACATTGCATTAAATTTTTATTCCAGTGAGAAGTTCAGGAAGATTCTTGGAAACACCGCCAAAATTTGGGAACTGTACATTACCTGAGACACAAGTTCAGCCCCTTAATTTAAAGAATCACAAATCTGTTTCTTTCCCATATGGGTGCTGAGGCCACCTCTGACAACTTCTGGGACTCCCAGTTTGGTCTAGTGATTAAGGCACCAGACTAGAAAGCAGAATACTATGAGTTCAAGTCCCGCCTTATGAAAGTCAGCTCAACAGAGATTGCTAACCAATTGCAATTCTCTTTTTATTGCACACTCATACAAATTCATATTCTAAGCTTCTCTCTCTCTCTCTCTCTCTCTCTCTCTCTCTCTCTCTCTCTCTCTCTCTCTCTCACACACACACACACACACACACACACACACACACACACACCTTGCCAAACTGCTTTGGCTCTCTCCATTCACTGAAGATTAACCAATCTTAAAGACACAGTTCTTTTGAAGGACATAGAATTTAATACACAGATTAATTTTCCCCATTTAATTGGCAAGATGCTCCAAAAGTCACATCTGGGTCTGATAATATCTGTAACATTTTTTTCATTCTCAGATGCTGAATACCTTGCTTGATCTTCCCATTTCCTCCACCTAGCCTTATCCATCTAGTCTTATCTGATCCTGCCCATTTTTCCCCTTGGTTGCTCTCCCCTATGATCAATCAATGGGGCATTTCCTTCACTGGTGAGAGCAATAATCTCTCTCTCTCTCTCCATTGTTGGCTGGTTGAAACCTTGCCAACGATGTCTCTCAAAGCTGTCCATCCTCTTTGCTTACTGCAGAGAAGAAACCTAAGCTAAACAGTATCTTTGCAACCAAATGTTAAAATTACCACTTATATTTGGCAAACTCTTCTCAGTTTCCATCTCTTTTATTCTTAGCTATGTTGCCCTTCTCCTTCTCTCTCTGCCTCTGCCCTGATTTACAGCCCACTGGACTTTATTCCATTAATTATATCTTTTAAATATAGTGGAATGAAAAGGTAAATATTCTTAAGGTCCATGAATCAAAAGATAATTACTTCTACAGGTGGTATAACCTGAAGTTTGACTACTAGATACTTGTCTAATTAGGAAAAGCAGAATTAAATTCTATAACATTCTCATTTCTAGCAAGAAGCTGCTTTAAACAGTATTACAAAAAATAAAGGAAAAAATCATGAATCATGCTAGGTATACCATGATCACAACAGTAATTACAGTATTCACAAATATAAAAAAGATAATATAAATATTCAAGTTTATCAAAAATATCAAGTATTTTGAACTATAACTTTCAAAAATCTTTATTCTATTCTATATTCTATTTATTTATATTATATCTGCTATAAAGCAAGTATGATTGGGTAAAATCCAAAAGCATGTATATGGTTAATATTGCAGCAGAGCAATAGGGATGAGCTGGCCAAGTAAATCTGCACCATTTGTCTGCCAGATCAGATATGGGATAGTGATAGGTCACTAACATTTATGAGATAGCTAAGTAATTCATTTTCTCTCTTTTATCATTTTAAAAGCTTTTAATGTTTCCAGCAGTTTTTGAAGAATACAAGCTTTTCCCCCTGGTGTTTCCTAAAAATAGACCTAGAATCATCCATAATGTTACCAAAAAATAGGACTGCTAATGCAAATGTACCCGTGTAATCTGTATCTCCCAGGGTGTGGCTTGGATGCTAGAATAAAACAAATTAGCCTGGCCCCTAGCTTTCGATCATTTTAGAAATACACTGCCATTTTTAATTGATGTTTTCTCAGTCTTTCTGAATGTTTGCCAAACTATAAGTAATATGACATTTGAATTCAAACTCCACCTTTAGAAAAGAAAAACAGCTCACACAAAGGAAAAGTGATTTAAGATATTACTGCTTAACCCTGCTAGCAAACCACAGCCAAATGGACACGGCGTGTATCTTCTTAAACGTGATTCAGATTAAAACCTCAATGCCCAGGAGAAGAATGTCCAAAAAAATCTACAAGTGTCATCCCTGTTTCCGGTGCAGGTTGCCATAGTGATGAAAGCAGCAGCAAGAGTCTCCTACCAACAGAACTGGTTTGAACTGGCATGGTGAATGCAAAGGAGGCTTAGCAGTAGGGAAGATTCAGCTCCATCCCTTACCTTTTTTTGTCTCTTACTAATCTTGTCTTTCTTCAGGGTAGGATTCTAAAAAGGGGGAGAGACAGATCAACATTTCTTAACAGATAGGAGCATATTTTGTAGTGTAACAGTGCTTTTAGATTGTAGCTTCAGTCATAATGTTTTTCTATACAGTCAATATTATTGTAGTTGCCATAAATGACAGTAAAACCTTTTATAATTTGGTATCAGCAGCAGAGATTGACAGCTAGAGGCAGTATGAAATAATTTTGTCAGTTTTGTAGATTACTACTAAGTGTTCTTTTTTCTTCTTCCTCTCATATTATTTAATCTTACACAAGCACATATAATATCTTTAAAAGGTAAAGGTTCCCCTCGTACATATGTGCTAGTCATTCCTGACTCTAGGGGGTGGTGCTCATCTCTGTTTCAAAGTCGAAGAGCCAGCGCTATCTGAAGACGGCTCCATGGTCATGTAGCCAGCATGACTAAATGCCAAAGGCACATGGAACACTGTTACCTTCCTACCAAAGGTGGTCTCTATTTTTCTACTTGCATTTTTTTACTTTCGAACTGCTAGGTTGGCAGAAGCTGGGACAAGTAATGGGACCACACCCCATTACGCAGCACTAGAGATTCGAACCACTGAACTGCCGACCTTTCGATCGACAAGCTCAGCATCTTAGCCACTGAGCCACTTAATATCTTTAGGACTGCCATATTCTGTTAACATTGTGGTATCTATACTAGCTTTATTTACAATCACATTTGAATCTTTCAAGTTCATCAGTTACCATGAGAAGGGTTATCTCAGGATATCAAGCAAAACTCTTATTTCATTTCTAAATTAAATATATTTAATTTCACATACTGAAAGCAGGAATATAGGATATTATTTTCCTGATGTTTTTTTTCCTACCTTGCAGCAAAATTGCTATGAATGTTGGTGAAATTCTTGCTGCAGTTTAAAACATTTTCAAAACAACTGAAAATATGTGTGAAACAAATTTCATGTTACCAAAATATAGCATTTCTCCTATCTCTATTGTTTATTTCATGAGAATTTCACTACACACATGCAGTATAGTATGTGACATAGGAAGATGCTAGAGGCAAATAATAACTTTAGTGACGATAGCAAAGGTATCAATTCATACTGTCTGGAGGAAGACAATGGTAAATCACTCCTGTAATTTTTTTTATCAAGAAAACCTCATGGATAGGAAATATGAAATGATTGATGATATAGTGCCAGATGGTGGTGTCACCCTCAGATTGGGTGGCACATAACGTTACTGAGAAATTGCTGAAAATCTTTTTTTAATACTACATAATTTGATATTCATATTATTATGACTAGATTAAAGCCTTTGGGCTATCTAGTTGATGATGCTGTTATACAGGAAATGAAAGGCTACAGGAAATGATAGAATACTTACTGATAAATGGCAAGCAACAGAAGAAGAATTCATCAAGGTTCTACCAGAGCTATGCCAGCAAATCTGGAGAATAGCACAGTGGCCAAATGTGGAAGAGGTCAATCTACATTCCAAATGGAGACTTAAGAGAGTGTATAAACTATTGTATACTATCCTTAAATTCATATACTAGCAAAATCATGCTTAGGGTTCTCCAATGTGGATTAAAGCCCTGCATGGGAAAATAAATGCCAGATGTTTGAGATGGCTTTAGAAAAGGCCAAGGAACATAGACATTATTGTTGATGCATGCTGGGTAGTTGAAAAGGCCAAAGAATACCCAAAAGAAGCACTATGTGCTTCATCAATTATAGAAAGGTCTTCGATTGTGTCAATCGTGTCAAGCTGTGGTGAATGCTCAGAAAAATGAGAATCCCAGAACAGCTCATTATCCTCATGAGAAACTTACATACAGGTCAGGAAGCCAACTACAGACAGAACCTGATGAAATTGACCAGCTACAGATTGGCAAAGGACTGTGACAAGGCAGTGTACTCTCCCTTTATTTATTCAACCTATATGCAAAACATATATCAAGAGAAGAAGATGACTATGGTTAGAATAGATTGTCATGGAGGAAATCTGGACATTAGGAGGCCAAAATGACTTGATGGCACATCATCATTCAATGTGTTCTTTTATTCCAGAAACTAAAATCTATTTTTAAAAAATAGAACTTTGCTAGTAATGAGCTTATACAAACCTATATTTCACATATTTATTACCTGGTACTTAATTTAGTGTCCGTAGATGTGTATTTCGAGAGCAGCCGCTTTTGTGTATTTTTTTTTTCATTATTGGTCTATTGTTATTTAAGAAACATATGTTGTTACGTCTTCAGCAAAGAAACTGGAGAAACATATTTATTGTGGGATTCTTGGTGATCACTGAGCTTATTATTTGTTGCAGACATTTCATTACTAAACTAGGTGACATCATTACTGTACATTACAGTGTGGGTTTGCTCCCTATTTATATACAAAAGCTTGCCTTGCCAGTGTTGATGGGGATGCAATTTTCTCCTTTGTATTTCCTTGATTAGAACTTGAGCAGAAAATAATATTCTAATTGTTTTCATAACATGCAAAAAATATCAAAAACTTTACATTAATACTAGTTTAAGAATAGCAGTGTGCTGTGTACATTTTGAAAGCAGGCTTTATAAATTATGCAGAATTGCATGTTTTTGTTCAGAAATTAATGTATATTTCTCAACTAGTTCCACTTTCTTTCTCTTGCAATTGGGAAATAATTTGTTTGCATATTTTAATTTTAATCATTCTAACTGGTTATGTTTATATGAAATTTTACAAAAATAGTTTCAGTAGAGCTATATTTCATTGTACTTGTCTATATATAGTCTATATTAGTAAGCATCTCTTTGTAACTTGAAAGTAACATCAGGTATTGAGTCCACTGAGTAATTGAGGCCATAAATTTACATTTCCAATATTGAAAAATTAGTCTTTTAGCAATAAAGGAAGGCAGAGAGTCTCTTTTGTTATCCAGTCATCCCTTTCCATATAATATGTATACCGTTCAAAAGAACATGGACATCTGAAAATATAAAATCTTGGTTTCAAAATCAATATATGTAATTACTTCTTACTAGAAAAAAAGACATTGAAAAAAAGTTTTAATACAGTATTGTTCTCTTTGCATTTCCAACAATATGCTGAGTGACTCATTCCTTTTCCATACAAATGCAATGGTGTCCAGTAGATCCAAAATACTTTTTCTTGAGTAAGCCATAATCTAATATCAGTTGAAATTTTGGATATTGACATTTAGACAAAGAGGGGATATCTACTTTCAATTCCGTTTTTAAAATTTACATATCAGATTGATGCATGGATAAATATTTTATAAATAAAGATTAATTGTAAAGTTTTTACCTCACAAATTTTACTGGTGATTTCTAGCATGTGGGTTTGGAAGCTGAAAATGCACCAGTCCAAATGGCAGTAAAAGTTGTTGTTTTAAATACCACCAGTGGGTGGCAATGGACAAATGGTATTTAACATAAAATATGATAAAAACTCTTCATCGTCATCTAGCAGTTAATCTAAAGTAAAAATCCTAATATTGTTGAAATCTTCAATATAAGATGTTTTCTAATCAGATTTTAAATTCTGGATTATCCCATAGCAGCCATTTTTTTACTTTAAAATTCATGTGATAGTACAGGTTGCATATCTATTTGATTACATGTTGAACACAGAACAGGTAAGTTAACTAAAGGTGCTACATTTGAATATTTCAAAAAAAAAAAAAAAAACCAAGAAGGAAAACTTTTACTAAGTGAAGCTATCCAAAATACCATAAAGAATTATGAATTATGCCATAATAACATAATTCAAGATTTGGCAATGGGGAAGGGGGAAAGTTATTGGAAATTATCTATGTTTCCTGTGTGTTATGTTTTGGAGTGTATTTTCCTATATGCAGTTGCTAATAAATGCAAATAAATTATTGCAAATAAATGCAGTGCAATTAAAATATAATGATATTATCAGCCTAGTGATCCCTGCTCATTTGATCTATAGATTTCCCACTTAATTCAAAGTTGTAGTGCTATACATTGAAGAATCAAACTAAAGGACCCTAACCCAAATACATCTTCCAAAGGAAAGGAAAGCACTAACTCAGCTAAATAAGGTCAAATTACTGTACGCAATACCGCCCCCCATCACAAATACATTTTCCCAGGCGCACTAAACTGTCAGCTCAGTCATAAAACATTAGAACACCAAAGAAAGATTATAAGCTAGGAAAAGATCCTAGGAGGCAGCAGAGTTCTGGGAAAGCAAAAGAAAGTTGCACCCTTGAAAGAAATTATATTCATAAAATACTGTCCCTCTATTCTTTCAAAATCTAATTGCCTTTGTAGTCCTGACTCATTGTTTCATAGTTACACTCTAATGGCCTCAGTTATCTCATTAAGTACACACAGTGATGGGCTGCAAATTTTTTAACAACTGGTTCTCTGCCCTAATGACTGGGTGGGTGGGCGTGGGTGGGTGGGTGGGCAGTCATGTGACTGGGTGGGTGTGGCCATCACTCATAGCAAGGTAGGAAGGTGCAGGCCGGCTGATGCTGCAGAGACAGGAAGATTTCCTAAGTACCATTCCGAGCCCCTTTCCCCTCCACATCTTGGGTTGACAAAATAAAATCCCATCTAAAGATCACAACTGCCCGCCGAGCCTGCTGGCACATGCTGGCAAAAGAAGGCTAGGGGGGCGGGAAAAGAGAAGGGCCCATGGAAACACCTGGTTTTCCACCTCCATTCGGCTGACTGCCCCACACTGGATTGCGATGGGGAGGTGGGGGGTGAAAGCAAAAAACCCACTCGGTCCATACGTACTCACCAGCATGACAGAGAATCTCTCTTCCAGCTCACCGGTTTGGGTATTGGGAGCTTGAGGAGTAGATTGTGTGCCAGGACTTGCTGCTGCTCCAATGGCGAGAGCCAGGCCCGAAATACAGCCAAGCCTTGCTGTGTCCACCCTGAGGCAGTCCTTTGGCCGAGCACCTTACCTTTGCGGGCAGCCGCAGTAAGCAGAACGGGCAAGGCATGGATATCAGCTGG